CAGCTCTCACTTCCATACATCACTACTGGAAAAACCATAGCTTTCACTATGCGGACCTTTGTTGGCAAGGTGATGTCTCTGCTTTTTAAGATGCTGTCTAGCTTCGCCATCCCTTTCCTCCCAAGAAGCAGGCGTCTTTTAATTTTGTGGCTGCTGTCATCATCTGCAGTGGTCATGGAGCCCAAGAAAGTAAAATCTGTCACTGCCTCCATATCTTCCCCTTCTGTTTGCCAGGATGTGATGGGACCAGTGGCTATGATCTTAGTTTTGTTTTTTTTTGATGTTGAGCTTCAGACTGTTTTTTGCACTCTCCTCTTTCACCTTTACTACTTTATTTATTTGTTTGTTTGTTTGTTTATTTGATTTGTACCCTGCCCATTTGCTCTATAAGACCACTCTAGGCGTCTAGACCACTCTTATGAGGTTCTTTAATTCCTTCTCACTTTCTGCCATCAGAGTGGTATCATCTGCATATCGGAGGTTGTTGATTTCTCTTCCGGCAATCTTAATTCTGGCTTGGGATTCCTCCAGTCCAGGCTTTCGCATGATGTATCCTGCATATAACTTAAATAAGCAGGGAGACAAGATACAGCCTTGTCGTACTCCTTTCCCAATTTTGAACCAATCAGTTGTTCCATATCCAGTTCTAACTGTCGCTTCCTTTCCCACATATAGATTTCTCAGGAGATAGATAAGGTGGTCAGGCACTCCCATTTCTTTAAAGACTTGTCATAGTTTGCTGTGGTCCACACAGTCAAAGGCTTTTGCGTAGTCAATGAAGCAGAAGTAGATGTTTTTCTGGAACTCTCTCTTCTGGAACTCCACCCCTGCAGCAATTTGGACTTTTAACCCTGTAAGTAGGACCCAGTTAGCTGACTCTCAGAAGGAGAACTTTTTAACTCCTTCCTGGTCAAACAGGCATTGGTGTCAACAAAGGGAATCTGTGCTTGGTTGTAAAAACATTTAAAAGTATATTTTTAAAATCAGAGAACAAATATTGAGAAGCTTACTTGTTTAAGATGTGAAATTACTGTTTTAGGTTTTTTTGTTATTGTTGTTTTGTGACGGAGGATGGATTTACTCAGTGATAGCAGAGCTTTGGTGCCTATATCCTGTCATAATTTTGAGCATTTCACCTATATTGGCACTATATAATTGTCTGATACGGTAATTAAGGAAAAAGCTCCAACTATGTTATGTGCTATCAAGTTCCCTTCTGATGTGTGGTGATTACAGATGGGGGTATTTGTATTCGTATACGAATGCAAATATCCCTGCACAAGTTGCGACAACAAGGGTCCACTCACC